CAGCCTCACTGTTCTGTCAGCAAAGACATTTTCCCTGATATCCAACCTAAACCTATTTGCTGCAACTTCAGCAGCATAGGTCATTCCACCACCAGCCCATGTCCAATATCTGCAGCAAGAGAAAAAAGGTGTTTTCCCTTTTCTTTATGGCAGACCTTCTGGTATTTGAAAGCAACTACCATATACCCTCTTAAGCACCGTTTCCACAAGCTGAACTTTTTCCTTCAGCCTCTCCTTGTCTGACTTGCCCTTCAGCATTTTTGTCACCCACCTCTGGGCACTCTAACTTTTCTACATCCTCCTTCTTGTTATTCTGCTGCTCCATGCATAGGGATCTAGTCAACTCAAAGAGGTGGCCAGCTGATTTCCTGGGCATATCAGTGGGTCAGTCACCATTTTTGCAGCTTTATTGAGGGGCCACACTCCCCCACCATGCCTCTGATTGGTGGAAAGACCCCAGTCCCTGTTCCTCCCCTCCTCCCACTCCCGATTGGTGGAGAGCTCTGCCATGCAGCCCCGCTCCTCTTAGCACTGATTGTTGAAGGATGGGGCTGCACAACAGGCAGCCCTCTCGGCCAATCAACGGCAAGGGGTGGGGAGCAGCAACCCTCTTCGTGCTGTGTTGGGTGACCAGGACAACTTCTGGCTCCTACTGGGGAACCAGTATTTTATTTTTTAGTAAGCTCCCTCCTACCCCAATTGGTTTTGGAGCATTTGTTTGCTTTCACAAAAATCCTGATTTGAGCAGGTCCCTATTCATACAACTGCCATTTGACCAGCTGCTTTTGCCAGAGTTACTTAACAGGGAAGATTCTCAAGGCTACTGTTTTACAACAGCCCTCATACTGATAAAATGCTCACTTCCTACATCACAACTCTCATATATGAACACTCTTCCATATAGTCAGAGAAAAAAGTTAACAGAAACATGTTATCATCCTTTAACACAGCCTGTATACACCTATACAGATATGACTGCTACAGTCCTACAATTAAGCCTACATGGGGGGACACTAGCACCGAGCCAGTCCCGGTGCAGTCACCAAGATTCTGAATAGAACCTGCAACCTGCCAAAATAAATCCAATTGAAGGACCAAGTCCTGATAGTCCTAATAGAACCAATCAGGAAGCTAATAAAAAACACTGTGCAATTCACTGATTAACACAGCCACAGATAACAGTTAAACACAAGGGCCGGCAAAGTTATGCCATACAAAGCCTCCATATAGTTATGCAGTCTTTTTCTACTTCAGAAAATAACTTGTGGATTAAAAGTACTTTCTGGATGTTCCAGCCAAGTTAGTTTTTTCATCTATGAGGAAAAAAGTAAATGAAGAAAATGGAAAACTGCTGACTCATAGTGGGTTAACCCACCCATAAATGCTATTCTGAGCAAAAAAAAGGAATTCTATCTGATCAACACATCAAAAAGCTATTCAACACAGCTCACAAAAACACTCTCATGGACCCAGAGGGACAGCCTTCCATCTTCAGC